TGTATGATAATCAAGGATGATATCAGTCTTGGGACACAAAAGCTCCCCTTGCTTCTAAGTTGAGCTGTTTTCTCCACAGAGCTGTGGCTTCCTTCCTTTTTCTTTATTTTTATTAAATGAAAGTGGAAGCAATCAACTGGGGAATGCCACGGTCATGCAAGATGATGACAATGTCATGCTTTAGAATTTTATATTAACCCAGGGGTCTGGAAACCTTTGTTTAAGCAGGGTCCTGATGGGACAAAATGACTACATGAAAATTGCCTGGGTAAAAACACAGGCCGTCTGCAGAAAAACATGACCTAAGGCAGCATTTGGAAGCATTAGCAATGTGAGACAAATATTTCTAGTATTTTTGACAGAAAACAAAAGTTTAACTGAGAAGCCCAGGCTGGAGCACTTACCTAAATGTAATGAAGTGTCTGTAGAAACAAAAATATGTCTAATGTTGAAAAGACTCCATAAATTTGGAACCAGAGATCGACTCCAGCTGAAAAAAAAAAAAAAAAATTATTGACAAGACTGGTAAATTATTGTTGTCATCAATGAACTTCAAAGCTGGAGCAAGAACATTTTCATTTCAAGTATTTGTTTACAGATCCAATGAGAGGTGAAATTCAAGTAAATTAAAAAAATAGATTGGTGGAGAGTGGGCAGGCAGGTTAGTGGAGGGTCGAGAAGCTTATCGACAACAAAAAAGGTTAAATCATTTCATCTGGACCAGTGTCTTTAAGAGAGAAACGTTTCATCGTCCATCCAGAAGACTTCATCAGCAGAAACCCATCAAACTAACAACAAACTAAGGGGTGACTGATAAGAAGTTGGAGTAATCTAGAAGGAAAGGAGAGTCAGGTCTTGAACCATTTTCATACCAAAGAATTTGGTAAAAATTTCTGCATTTGCAATAGTTTTTGTCGTGAAAAACTGATTTTTAAAAGTACTTTTGAAAATGAAGATTTAAAAACATTTTACTTTCGGTGGACTGGTGTGGACAAGACACATTAGATTTTTTAGTAAATTATGATGTATTAATGTTTATTAGTTTCACATACAACTAATATATTTCTGTGCCACATAAACAAATAAATGTGGAGCTGTTTGAAAAAATTTCCCTGGGTCTGTTTCATTTTTCCTTTTTTTTTTTCCAGGTTTTGATTGTTTGAAAGATGAATGACTTGAGATGTTTAACAAATATCTAAGCATCATCCGTGTTAAGGGAATGTGTATTATTTGCACTCAACATGTTCCATATTTTTTACTTAATTAATGTATTTATGCACTGCTTCTGTACTCTCATTGTGAATGATATAAAATGATCCTTACTCTATTCAATAATCAGTCGTCATGTGACCGGTCAGTGAAGGGACAGAGAGGTCATTTTTATTATCCTCAAGGTTTGATTGATATGACTACAGTGACATAGATTTGAAAAGTCCTTGGGAACAGGAAGTCAGAACACATCAGAACCTCAGACAGGTATTAATAAGTGTGAACTTGTAAATGCATTGATCTTCTGTGATTTCTGGCTGTTCTCCAAAGCTTTGTGATAAATCTAATGAATTGTACACCTGGTTGTTTTGGGAATCTCTTTTCCCCACCAGTCTGTTTTTGTGGTTTGATATCTTGTTAATCAAAAAATATACAGTACATATATTTTCATTTTTCTTGCAACAATGATGAAATACACACGTCACAACACTAGGTGGGAAAATGTTCACGCTGTCGATGTATCAGAATAAAAACAAAGAACATATTTAGCTTGGCTAAACGTTTCTCCCAAAACCTTTTATTTTATAACATTTAAAATTCCCTCTCATTTATGACCCTACGTTGCACACAGTTTAGGTTTGATAGGGACAGGATAAGTATAAAGCAAGACAAACTCAGAAAAACTGGTAAAAATAGCTCAATATCTTTAGTATACAAATATCAAAAAGTGCTACATCATCATTTCTGAAAAGCTCTGTATCTCAACTATGAATACCATTTACACCTTATATATATATATATATATATATATATATATATATATATATATATA